CGGTGAAGCAACCGGTGCCGGTATGATGGCACGAGAATCCTGTCGAAATCTGTTACTCGCCAACCTAGGGCAATACCTCCTGATGTGACCAATGTTCCCACACTCATAACACCCATCCTGATGCTGTGGCTGCTGAAACTGAAGCTGACCCGAATGGGCCGGATAACCACTATAGTAACTCTGGAGTGGTGGTGCACTGATAGGAGCTGAATGTGCACTAAATGTTGGCTACCCAGAGTAACGCATAATAGGACTGTGACTCCCTGAAGCACCGAGAGATTCATGAAGTGCTAAATGAAACGGTCAGGGAGGATGACCCCTACCAAAATTACCCCTGCCTCAAGACGAGGCACCACTGAAACCACCGAACTGAGGAGGCTTCTTATCAGACCTCTGTCCTCTCTCCTGTGCAAGAACCATCTCGACCCTCCTCGAGACATTAGTAGCCGTCTGAAAAGAAATCTCACTTCCGGTCTCCTTGGCCATCTGAAGCCTAATAGGGTGAGTGAGTCCTTCAATAAACCTCCTCACTCTCTCTCCCTCAGTAGGTAGTAAAAGGAGAGCATGACGGGCCAAATCCACAAAACGGGACTCATACTAAGTAACAGTCATACTGCCCTGCTTTAGACACTCAAATTGCTTGCGGAAATCCTCTCTCAGTATGATAGGAAGGAACTTCTCCAGAAATAGCTGAGAGAACTGCTCCCAGGTAAGTGCAGGCATTCCGACTGGTCTGGTCAAGGTATAATCTCTCCACCACCTCTTGACGAAACCCATCATCTGAAATACAGCAAAATCAACCCCATTGGTCTCAACTATACCCATGTTCTGCAACACCTCATGGCATCGGTCAAGATAATCATGTGGTTCCTCAGGAGGTGTACCACTGAAGTGAACTGGAAAGAGCTTAGTAAACTTATCTAGTCTCAAAAGACATAGCGGGCCTATCACCGGTCTGTGTCGCAACAACTGGCTGAACTACCCCAACTGACGGGGCTACGGGAGCCTGATTCTGGGGAGCCATATGCTCTGGAGCAGGAGTAGTGGGAGTTTGTGCTCCTCCCCCAGCCTGTGAGATGGCTGGTGCCACTGGAAATGTACCATTCTGGGCCACGCCCTCCATAAGACTCACCAAATGGACTAAAGCATCCTGAAGTACTGGAGTAGCTATGAATCCTTCCGGAACCTGAACTGGTCCAACTGGTACATTCTGAACTGGAACCTCCTTGTCAAGCTCTATCTGAGGCTCCACTACTGGGGCTGCTGCTCGGGCTCTGGGCTGAGCTCTGGCCCTGCCCCTACCTCTGTCTCGGCCTCTAACACAACCTCGTCCTCGACCTCTACCCCTGGCCATAGTTGCCACTGGGGGCTCTGGTCCCTATCCATCGGTAGATGTATTACGTGTTCTCACCATCTGCGAGAGAATAAGAGTAGAATGGTTCAATCATCGATGATAGAATAAATTTGCACGACGGAATAAGAAAGAAGTGATATTATTTCTAAACTTCATAGCCTCTGAGAGATAAGTACAAACGTCTCCATACCGATCCTTCAGACTCTACTAAGCTTGCTCGTGACTCGTGAGACCTATGTAACCTAGTGCTCCGATACCAACTGTCACGACCCAAACATTTCGACCTTCGGACCGTGATAGCGCCTAACATTTCACTTTCTAGGCAAGCCAATGTTAGAATAATATATCAACTGTCACGGCCCGAAATTCCCACCTTCGGACCGTGATGGTGCCTAACATTTTATTTGCTAGGCAAGCCAACGTTAAAATAATATTATCCATTTTAAAATAATTTTTAAATTTATTAATAACAAAGAAACCAATGCGGAAGTAAAGTCTTAAATGTAGTGAATAATCCATAAAAATAATGGTGTCTAAATACCATCCCAGAATTGGTGTCACAAGTGCACGAGCTTCTAGAATAATACAAATAAAGGTCTGAATAAAATAAAGTTGTCTGAAAACAAAGACACAGCTAAAGTAAAGTAGACGGGGACTTCAGAACTGCGTACGTCGTGCAGTTATACCTCAAGTCTCCTCTGGTAGCTGATATCCGAGCAAGTCTATGGTACGCCACTGGGACCAACTTCGAAATCTACACAAAAAGTACAGAGTGTAGTATCAGTACAACCGATCCTATGTACTGGTAAGTGCTGAACCTCGACGAAGTAGTGACGAGGCTAAGGCGGGTGACTTACATTAACCTGTACGCAATATTAGTAACAACAACAAATAATAGAAATAAATCAGGTAACTTATTTATAATAATTAAAGCCAACTCAGCAGTCATAACCCATTATTATTTCAACCAATTTCCGTTGCAGCGTGCAAACCGCTCCCATAATATATTCATTTTCAATCCTCTCATATATTTATTTTAATCAAGTATATATAGACTTTTAAATAAGTCCGTTGTGGCGTGCAATCCGATCCCCCAATATAGACTTTTTAATAAGTCTGTTGCGGCGTACAACCCGATCCCCCAATATGTTCAATTCTGTTGCGGCGTGCAACCCGCTCCTCCAATATATCCATTACCAATTCTTATAGAAGAAATTGCCCTAATAAATACAATAATTAATATAAAATCTTTAAGACAACAAGCATACAATAATTATGATTTATTTATGAACAAACAATGGCAATTAGCAATTAATTATGAAAATCGTGGAGAAAATAGGCAGTTTAATATTTAGTATGCTAAATGTCAAATAACAATTCAGACACATAAATCAAATAGCATGTAACAATTATTGCAGAAATTCAAGAATTAATATTTGACAAAGAATAGGAGAGAAACAATTATTATAACAATTAATTAGTGTCTTAGAATAATTTATGATTTTCAAATAATTATGCAAATAATTAATTTGACAACGTATAGACACTCGTCACCTCACCTATATGTCGTTCACATTCATTTCACATAACAAATAATTTAAGGGTTCTATTTTCTCAAGTCAACGTTAACCACGACACTTACCTCGCTTTGCAAATTCCAATAAATTATTCGACCACAGCTTTTCCTTTTGAATTTGTCTCCAAAAGTGTCAAATCTATTCACAAACAATTCGATATACTCAATACGAATCATAGGAATTAATTCGATAAAATTTTGAAATTCATTTAAATATTTGATAGTGGGACCCACGTCTCAAATCCCGAAAAAACTCACTAAATTCGAACACCCATTCCGTTACGAGTTTAACCATATAAAAATTATCCAATTCTGATGTCAAATGGACCTTCAAATCTTAAATTTTCGTTTTTGGAAGATTTTATAAAAATCTGATTTTTCTTTCATAAATTCACGGATTCATGATGTAAATAAGTATGGAATCATGAAATATAATCAATATAGGATAAGGAACACTTATCCCAATGTTTCTCCGTGCAAATCGCCCAAAAATCACCTTACCCGAGCTCAAAAATGAAAAAGGATTGAAAATGAGATATTTTCCAAAACTTAAGTTGTGTTTCTGGAATTTTTACCCTTCGCGAACGCGGTCAGCGCCTCGCATTCGCGAAGCACAAATTTGGGTTGTCTAATTTTACCCTTCGCGAACGCGAAGCTTGCCTGGCTTGTCCTTCATGAACGCGAAGGCAAATTACCTTGCCAGCCTTTTTCCCTTCGCGAACGAGAGGTTTCGATCGCGAACGCGAAGCTTCGCACCTCAACCCTTCATGAACGCGTTCTGCTTGTCGCGAACGCGAAGCACAAAACGTGCCAGTCCAATTTACTCTACGCGTTCGCGAGAGTACCTTCGCGAACGCGAAGAAGAACACACCAGAAACCTGAAGTCTGCAGAAAACCAGATTTTCTATGTCCGAAATCATCCTGTAGCCTATCCGAAACTCACTCGAGCCCTCGATGCTCCAAACCAAATATGCACCCAAGTCCTAAAATCTCATACGAACTTGTTCGCGCGATCAAATCGTCAAAATAACACCTAGAACTACGAATTGAACCTCAAATCGAATGAAATTTTCAAGAAAACTTTAAAACTTATATTTTCACAACCGGACGTCCGAATCACGTCAAATCAACTTCGTTTTTCGCCAAATTCGGCAGACAAGTTATAAATATTATAGTGGACCTTTATCGTACTGCGGAACCAAAATACGGACCCGATGTCAATAAATCCAACATCAGTAACTTCTTAAAAATCATTAAGCTTTCAAACTTTTAATTTTTCATCAAAATTCTATATCTCGAGCTAGGGATCTCGGAATTCGATTCCGGGCATACGCCCAAGTCCCAAATCACAATACGGTCCTACTGGAACTGTCAAAATACTTATCCGAGTCCGTTTGCTCAAAATATTGACCAAAGTCAACTCAGTTGAGTTTTAAAGCTCTATTTCACATTTTAATCCATTTTTCATATAAAAACTTTCCGAAAAATTTTACGGACTGCGCACGCAAGTCGAGGAGTGATAAATAGTGCTTTTCGAGATCATAGAACACAGAATTAATTTTTTAAATTTAAAGATAACATTTTGGGTCATCACACTGTATGACTGACTTGTGTCTTATTATCGAAAATATTAATTCGTCCACCAATTTTCAAGTGTACTCGGTATATTAATATTGCCCCCTCCCAGAATTTGTAAGAGAATAAAAAAGAAGGGGAAAAAAAAGAAGAAGGAGAGCAACTAAATTAGAGCATAAAAAACGAAAAGTTTTTCGTCTATTTATTAGTTAGGCAAAATGGTCTAATATCCCACTAAATTGTGAAAACAGAATTGTTGGAGTCATACATCACAAATCTTGTACCTTAGATGACAAAAGTCCAGTAGCCAAAAGAATGACCAACTTAACTGAAACTATCACTAGCTTACACTCAAACTAAGTCCCACGGGACAATGCAAGAGGCGTAAATCAGAATTTAAATTTTATGAATTCTTATCGCGATCTAAAGTTAGTATACAACAATAATCGAATTTATAGTCAAGTATTATAGATATTTAATCAATTTTTTTTTATTATTATTATTATATAGAATTTGAATAAAAGATACTGGGTCAAGTGAACCCATAACTTACAAACTAGATCCGCCTATATTTCTAATAACTGTTGAAACGCCATCTTCCGAAATGGTTTGGCAGCCCCTCCAAAATGATATATAGCGGAAACGGATAACAAAATGCGCAAAATTTCTTGAAAAGTCTGGTGTAGTATCTATGCAAAAGACAAGACACCTTCAGTATCAAACTGATGTCCATCAGCTGCAGACCATATGGCTATTCTACTAGTACTAGTAATAAGAATTAAAACAAAAAATGAGATAATGGTAAAAAGAATTAGACATCCCTCCAAAAAAGCAAAAAATAGAGAAAAAAGAAACAACGTTCAAAAGCAAAAACAGTTGCAGAAGTGTTATACTCTACTCTTTCCATGCTGGACAAAATAAGATTCATCTGCGTTGGCTAAACGATCTTGGAACATAGCCCACTCATTTGTACACCTCTCTCTTACCTACAATACAGATATTCATCCATTTTAACCTCCAGTACAACAACAACAACAATAAGTATGCCTCAGTCCCAAATTAAACAAGTTGGGGTCGGCATTAATCAAGTTAAAGAACCTACAGAAGTTATCAATATAAATTTCAGGTGACAAAAGATATGCTTACCCCTTCCCAAGGAGCTTTACCATTTTCAGACTCACCCTGTAATCCAAAAGAAAAAATAATACAAAAGAAGTAGGAACATGCCAAAGAATGATTAAAAGAGCAACTTAAGTAGGATAAGTAATCAAGTAATTTATGATTCTACAACAAAAGACTTATGGCGGCCATGAATATACCAATTAATTTAGCTGGAATAAAACTTGCTGCAAAAACCTTTACTGGCATTAAGTTGTTTGCCATTGTATTGGGGGGTCAGTAAAGGTTTTACCAGCAATTATACGTGGTGCTTGTAAAGATCCCAATTATCGCCAGTTTTGTATCCCATAGAAAGAATGATGATATGGTTATAGTAACACAAATTTAGTCCAGGAAATACTAGCTTCCCCCTCCTTTGACACCCAAAAGCTCAAAAAGAAACAGTAATAACTACTTTTAAGAAAGAAAGGTGAGAACAGTTTCATGCACTAGGATATATAGTCACATATGGAGAAGCACAGCAACAACAACAACAACATACCCAGTATTATCCCACACTGTGGGATCTGGGGAGGGTAATGTGTATGCAGACTTTACCCCTACCTTGTGAGGATAGGGAGGTTGTTTCCAATAGACCCTCGGCTCAGGAAAGCATAAGCAGCACATTAATAAAAATATAGACAAGAAGATACAGTACCAAAAAACCATATAAAAGCAGAATAAAAACAACAAGATAGTAAGGTGATCAACAATGAAAGAAAACAACATAAACCTACTACCAACAGAAAGCGACACTGCGTGTCAATACTACTGTTATGAACACTCTAGACTACCTACTCTACTACCTTAATTTTTGACCTCCATATATTCCTATCAAGGGTCCTGTCCTCGGTCAGCTGAAATTGCACCATGTCTTGCCTAATCACCTCTCACCACCTCTTCTTTGGCTTACCTCTACCTCTCCGTAGGCCCTCCAATATCAACATCTCACACCTCCTCACCAGAGCGCCTGTGCTCCTCCTCCTCACATGACCAAACCACCTAACTCGCGCTTTCCACATCTTGTTCTCAATAGGGGTCACGCCCACCTTATCGCGAATAACCTCATTTCTGATCCTATCTAACGTGGTGTGCCCGCACATCTATCTCAATATTCTCATCTATGCTACATTCATCTTCTGGACGTGAGCGATCTTGACTGGCCAACACTTAGTCTCATACAACATCGTTAGTCTGACCACCACTCTGAAGAACTTACTCTTAAGTTTCGGTGGCACCTTCTTGTCACACAAAACACCGGAAGCGAGTCTCCATCTCATCCATCTCGCCCCGATACGATGTGTGACATCTTCATCAATCTCCCCATCCCCCTAAATAATCGACCCAAAGTACTGAAAACTCCCTCTCCTAGGTATGACCTGCGAGTCTAGCCTCACCTCTCCTTCCCCTCCTTGAGTCTCGCAACTGAACTTACACTCCACGTATTCTGTCTTGGTCCAAATAACTCTCTAAATGTTCATATAATTATATCCAAAGAAGCACTAGTTTCTCTCTTCTAGCTAATAATTTCTCTTCCTCGTCCAGAATAGACATAAAGGAGATCTTCCTATCCCAGTGTAACGAAACGGAAGAAATAATTAGGTCCTTGTCTAAAGAGAGGTGTATCCAAGATATGAATTTGATGGATTTAGTTTGCAAAGGTTTTAGCACTGCATTCACTATACTTTTGATATTATTGGTTTAGTTTTTATATTTGTTGAAATTTTAGTGATTTTTCATATATATATATATTTAAATTCTTTGGTGAAAGTATTGGGTCCGGTTGAACCTGCAACACAAAGGTTGCATCCGCCATCATCTCTGAGCTAGCCTCTTAGATGATGCTTCAAAGTGATCAGTCACGACTTTTACAAATTATCACATACATAACAAGAAAAAATCATAGGATTAGATTATTTTACAGATGCTTCAGATTGAAAGGAATGAAGATAAATGAAAGGAGAGGAATTTAAGAGATAAAGGCTTTTTCTTTTTTAAATAGTGGACGAGTTTTTAGGGAGTCAAGGATTAGGATGAAAGAACACATGCTTTTTCCGTCCAAAAGCGAGTGGAATCAGAGAGTAGGAGACTCCATTTGATGAAACTTTTTGTAACCATAAACAGGCCTGGGGATTGTGAACAAATAATTCATATTAAGCAATTCAGATGCGGAGCCGGGATTTGAAACTTATGGGCTGGGGATTCTAATCTTTTAAGTTATTGGGTTCTAAATTAATAATTTGTACATATTCAATGAATTTTTTTAAGGCAAACACATAGTTTGGACCAAAGCTACTGGCCGAACCCATAGCTTCTACTCTCCCTCCGCCCCTGTTAAGCATACTCATTTCTTTGTCTTTATTCCTAATGATTCCAAACAATAATAATATTCTCCGTTTTCCCTTTCCTTCCGTTCCTCTTCTCTCCTTTTTTGTTGCTTTCGAATGGTCTTCTTTTCCTTTTTCTCGATCAGAAACATCCATTAAGCTTTGGTGGTATTACACAGACTTGCCATAACACTAGTCCACATGAGCTCAACTGCTACAATCACCAACAAAAAGCTTGATCTTTATTATCTCAAGCACTTGGAAATTTCCAGGCGATTGAGTTCAACTTTTACATATTCGAGGATTGGGTGGCTGACTGAAGAATTCACAATCACAATATGAACTAGGTTGGGAAAGTAGCTAATGGGTCGGTGTTCATGGATTTGAGTTCTCATAAGATGGGCACGAATCAAGAACTTCATAATCAGGGATTTCCGCATATATAAAAAAATTATTACTTATATCAATAAAATGTAGCTTTCTGGAAATGAACATTGACTGACCTGATTCCCTAGAGAAGGAACAAATTGATGCACAATCCACTGTGAATCAACAACACCAATTTTTTCATGAGCAGGCTGCACAAACCATGTTTAAAACAAATTAAAATTTCGCCAAAGAGTCCATCATATCTCAAATAAGTCTAAGCTGAGAAGATAATTCTCAGTTGTATCTAACTTTTCAGTTTGCAGCTCTCCTTTTACCACTATTCTACTACAATTCAAGAATTTATCTGGAGGAACTAAGAAGTAATAACCTCTACACATCTTCTCAATGCGAAATCCAATCCCCATCCATGCACCAAATCATTCTATAATCAAATCAAGTAAAATAATCAGTATAAATAGCATATGAAATAATAGAAGACACTCGTGATCAGGGCAATTGCATCTTGAAAGGATTATAGTGAGTAAAAAACACATCGTTAGTTGACACATCTGATCCCAAGAGTAAGAACTACCTGAATCATATGCCAAACACATCGCCATGCTTCTCGAGAGAACACAGGAGCCATTATTTCCACAAAACTGAACAAGAAATCAGACCAATAAAATAAGATAAATCCTTTAAGGAATATACTAGGACTCAGAGGCTATTGCTTGAGTTTGACCAATAGAATATTTTGAGACTACTACTCGAGTGAGAGAGAGAGAGAGAGAGAGTACGCTGCACAAGGAGGCAAACGTTGATTGCTGCACCAGCCTGGTTTCTCATCTGTACTCCTGTTGATCAATCCACACAAAAATTTTACATGTCGATGAACATAAACTAGTTTATACAGGCATTCCATCCAAATTAATTGAAAATAGATTAAAATTTGAATCAGAGGAAGGATTCAACAGAATGTACTTGTGAACTTCTCTATCATCCCTCCTTTTAGTCATCTGCCATGTCAATCCACTGTTGGGTTCAAGAGCAGGCTGAGAAATCTCAAGGCCATGTTTTTTAACTAGTCTAATATACCTGGCATACTCAGGCGGCCAAGATTAGTCCGAAACAACATATATAAAGAGAAAACACGGATGCTTTCACTTTTGAAAATGACGAACCAACTAAAACATCCAGGGAATAGCGCGTACTTCTCTGCATTGAAGTGCTCAACTCCAAGGTCTTCATCCCATATAAATATGTAATCATAGGCAGCTACTACATCAGGATGTAAAAATCTCTTTGCATACCACCTGATAAAGGAAAGAGAAAGACCAATATTAGATGGAAAAAATAAAAGAACACAAGTTATTATATCCAACAACTTCCTCAATTTCCGTTCAATTTATCATCTTAGAAGGACAAAATCAATGGATCCAAATATGCTAGTTAAAAGAGGCTACTGCCTAAATAGAACAAAGTTCTCGCATCACATTACTCTTTGATTGTTGCATCTGATAGATAAGACTTAGAATCCCAAAGCTAATACCTAAAATCAAAGTCTTACCATTTGGTCTGTTTCCTCACGCTAATGTGAATTGCTCGCTTGGACCACTCAAATTGATCCCATTCACTCGTTCGACCATCATAATGGAAAAGCAAAATTTGAAAATCCTCTGAAAACTAAATAAAGCATAGAAAATAAGACTAGTACATGGGATGCAATGTTAAGTAAAAGAGCTAAAGTTGTAAAGATATCCTTTTAATGGAATCACTTCATTTTTATTACCTTTGTAACCGCTGCATCAATGTTGTTCATTTGACTCAAACCAACAGTAAATGTCACCAAGTACTTTGGCTTATTTGTTAGATCCTGATAATTCCACAAAATTTGTAAGATAACTGCAACTAAATAAAGCACCAGGAAGCAAAACACAAAGTATAAGTGACAAACTTTATGACAACCTTCAGGCTTTTCCTTTCTGTAAATACAGAAGTCCTAATGATGCATTCCATAACTCTTCGAAAGCATTACATATAGAATAGGTTATTGTCTCTTAAACTAATGCAAAGCTGGAAGCACATGTCGTTCATTAGAGAAGTAAAAACTTGAATGACAGCCTAGGGTTGCAGCTAAAGTCCTTGCCTTCAGCCTCACACTGCTAAATATATAATAAACAAGAAAATGAAACCAAAACTTACCCAGAAATCAATGTCGCTGATGTTTAATCCAAAAATTCATAACATAGACATGCAACGGAATCTTATAAAGGCAGGACGTTGAAGTATCCATTTTTTTTCCAGAAGTGACAAATGCAGGTATCATACACTATAATGAGCGGACATTCCTTTTCATTTTTTCTTTATTTTTTCAAAATCGGAGTTAACCAATGATTATTTGATATGTCTGCATCATACCTTACTTGGTTCACCCCACAACCTTCTCAAGTAAAAATCTGATTCAGAGACCACAATCCTTGGTGGCAATGACTCCGCACCACGAGGATTTATTGGAACATATATCTAGAAAATCAAAAGCATTAATACTTTAGAGATGCTCTGATTCAACTATATCATTATCAAGACAGCTGAAACATATATTTTAACTCCTTTACATATGCAAAATAATCACGTAACCAGCAAGTATATAATCAAGTTTCTCATATGTCTCCAAGCAACTACCAAGCTTGTTATTGAACCAGTAACTAGAAAAAGTTAGGATACTTCAGACTATGAGCTCTGCGTATAACCGTAAGAACGTCTCAATCACCACATGGTGCTTTTGAATTTTATGACGTTACTATATCCAGTTGTCCATACATGGATGTTCAAGTTTCTAATTCCAGAATAAAGAGACTCTCAACGGAGTACCTGATCTAACGATGATGTTAGAAGAATGTCTTAATACCAACTAGTTGATATCGTTCCTATGGACCCTTAAATTCCATAATGTTCTATTCTACGCTGAGCTTGCATCATTGTAAGGTTTTTGCGAAAATTTCCTTTTTGAGACTTAACTTGTTCCCTTTTATCACATTCAATCATCATATTATAGCAACTAGAACTGGTGCATATGGGGAATCTACACAGAATGTAGTCAAAACATCTCAAATGGAAGTATTTGCACTATCAGTGACAATTTTTAATATTATCCCATCTTGTATGACCGCGTATGCATCTGACTATTTTCATTTCTACGAAATACACCTTGTAAGTGTGTTCGGATTTACGTCCACATAACTTGATGGTTTACAATCGTTATATTGAACTTGGCTTTGCTTGTATCTTCTTAGCATAGAACTCCTTCACATCTTTTTTCTAACTTTATGTTAAATCTTTATCTGTCATTGCCATTCTCTTAAAAAACTAATCTAGGTATTTGAATTGTCTGTATCTATCCAACATAATCCATCTAATCTCATATCAACTTTATTGTTTAATGAGGCTTACTTACAATGCATTAATTTGTCTACCTCTATTTTTCTAAATTCTTTACTCTCTCGAGTGTTTCTCAATAATTCCAACTCTTATCTGACTCACTGACTGATATCATTAATTAACATAATATCAGTTGCAAATAGCATGCACCATTGAACTTCTTACCACATTCTGTATATTATTGATTCGCTCATATATAACTACTGAAAAACTAGTACGAGCGTGAGGCAGCTCTAAGGAGTAAACCCACTATTATGGGGGAACTCCTATGTATTTCCCCCATGATCGCTTCTTCATTCATATATTCTATGGAATTTATATATTTGTGATGCATTGGTTTCTTCTCAAGCATCCAGAACAAAAAACATTATTGGCATGCTATGATATGATTTATCTAGTTGAGTGTATAACATGCATAAATTCAATTTGATTCTCTATCACCACTATACTCTATCAGTCTTCCAAAAGTTTCATCATATGGCTCGTCATATTAATACCATGAAAGCTCCCTCCATTTTTAATATCTCCTTCGTTCTTATATGTGGGAACCAAGATATTTGCTTCTCCACTCATTTGACATATTTCCACTCCTTAATATAACATTGAAATGATTGTTTATCATACTACGCCGAAGTCTCTAAAGCACTTTTAAACCTCTACAGGGATATCATCTGGACAGAGGAAAATGGAGACTGAATAACTATAAGAAACTCTACTGTTGAGATCCAACAACCGCCATAAAAGCAGGCTTTAACCATTTACAATACTCACAACTTGTTCTCTTTCAAAAAATTTCATTTTCAAATAAAGAATTCTCATGCATTTATGTCTGTGGACATTGAAACTATTCCAGTAAATAAAGTTACAATAGACGAGAACGTCTAAGCTATTAGCACGGTTCTTCACGCGGCAGTCGAGCACAAGCTAAAAGCAGATTTTATCAAATCCTATCCAAAAATTAGACTACAAAATTGATTGGGCTCTGATAATGGTAATGTTTATCACTTTTTATTTTCCCACTAGGACACTACTCAAGCTAGGCAGATAGGTGAGGAACGCCTTCTCTGGGAAACAGTTTCTCGTCTGCAACTTTTATATGATGCTAATTATTTTCAACCTCCAAACTAATCATGTTCAAAATAAATGGGCTATGTGAAACCGATGGTTCTCTCAGGCACTTTCAAGAAAAAGATTAAACCAGACTGGATGTAATTTAACTGCTATGCTAAGGCCTTAGTGGTAAGCATACAAATTACTCCATGTATGATAATTTTGTTACTCTATATATTGTTACAGGATAAGTTTTATAATAAATCTTTGAAGTTGGCACCAACCCTAACATCACATCTTTTCCTTAGAATAATTAATCAAGAAAGGTTCGATGCACCTACCCTTGCATTCAATTTTACCAAGATTTGGCTCAAAACTAACCAGCTTAGATTACAGACAGTGAACCCAATATTCACTACCGCAAACTTCAATTGCAAAACAGGAGCAGAATGGCCTAAATGAAATCAGCAATTTGCCAAAAACCTCATAAAACTTTGTAGTGGCCCAATAACACAAATATGTGCATCGTGTTGAGCCAGGTTTACTTCAAAGAGTTGTTTTAAAAAAGACTATGTAGATAACTAGATACCAGGTCCAGGACTGGCATGAAAAAAGCACAAAATACAACATTTTTTCTAGACACCAGAAAGGGACATTCAGAACATGCAGGAAATAATGAAAGTAGATTTTTATCGACATAATGATAGATACACATTTAAGAAGTAGTATTAGCATAATCGATCCATTTGGCTCTCTGAATTTGTTGCTATGGAAATTCACAAGTGTTCAATATTCAACAGCATAAGGCATAAAGATGTCGATTCAAAGAGTTATCCGTGGATTTTGCTGGCCAAATTAACACCAGTTGTTTCTTACTGGAGTACCAAAATTTTATTTTGCTAGATAAGTCGTAATGAGATTCCATCACATGATTATACAAGTGAATCAACATAGGGAAGTTGAAGGTGAGAATAATGTAAAGGATCCAAGTGAAATACATACCTTTGGATTTACAAGATTCTCTGGAAAAAAGCGTTCAATTGAAGGTCTACGATGGTCATCACCAAAGGCTACATCAATAGATGACATAAGACTTGAAGGTAAAGTAATCTGCAAAAGACACCAAAAATTACGAGGAATGATAAAAGTTTCTTAATTAACATCAGAGCAAATATGGAAAGATTGGGCTAATTACCTTTGTTAGAGAAACATATGGAGATGAAATGCCAATAAAATATCCAAAAACCATTCCCATGATTGTAGTTATAACAAGTCTGCCTCTATCGTTCGATCTTCTGAAAGCCCCACTGAATTAGAAGAAAGAAGACAAAGAAGGTAATTCTAAGGTATATGCATCGACATAAGCTTCAGTTCCAAACAAAATATTTGGTGAAATTGATTCAAGTATAAATATTGTCCACAAACCTGCGATATAAGGTTCCCATTGTGATAAAAGTTGTTCAACACAAAGGTTAGCAGTAATAAGCAAAAACCAATTCTTTGAGCAACCTCAGCATCCTCCACTTTCTAAGAAAGTAATCTTGACATTCCTGAAAGATGAATCCTATTAATCATGGCGTCAATGTGAGAGTGTTCACATCTTTAACCTCGCAGTTTAATGAATAAAACATGATGGAGGCAAATAGATCCATACAAGCGATACCAAGTGATTGAGATTTATACTTACATTAGGTCCAGGTTTTGCTAGGAGTTTTTTAAGTCTGATCTGTTTTGAGACTTGTATGCCCGATAGGAAATATAGAAAACTTCTAGTGTTAAAGAACCCCAAATTATTGAGTATTGCAATGAAATGGATCCAAAAGGAGTGCAATAGATCATTCAATCAGCTACACCTGCTTCTCAGTCCAAAACTAATTGAGGTCGGCTGTATGAATCATCTGACTCGTTTCACTCTATATTTGAGCTCATTTCATCCCAATATCAGTTTTCTTTAAGAAACTAGAGCTCCCTAAACACTCATGGCAATAAGACTGCTAATGAATACCAGACGTAATGTAATTCAAGTTAGGATTTTCGTAATTTCTGGACAAACAGGTAAACGGATATTACTACTTGCGTCCATATTAATTATTTGTCTTTTAAAGTTTTTGCACACCCTTAAGAAGAACATTAATTAGGATTAATTATAAGAGTATTTATTTGTCTAAACTACCTTTTATCCTCACTGATTGACACGCCACTAACTGGGGCAATAATGGTGAATTTAGAAAAAAGTAACATATGCTTTCGAAATCTGTAAAAAAATTGGAACAAATTCATTTGCCAAAACGACTTATAATCCCCACATTATAACTTGTTCACTAACCGAACGAGCCCTATTTGGATTCAATATCATTTGTGCAATTGGCCATGTAAAAACTAGGAAAAATATAACAGAAATTGAACTGTTGAGAATGCATAGAAAACTCGGTAGAGAAAGAATCGTCATTTTCAACAGTAGTGAAGAAAGATCAGAGTTTTCATGAATTTACCGAATTTTTCAGGTGAGAGAAGGGATCTTTCCTTAGAGATCGGTATAGACGTTTGGCTTTTTTGAAATGTTAAAACTTTGAAACTGAAAGTACGTAAATTTCTTGCCATCATGGAACTCCATGCCACATAAATACTACTCAGTATATTGGTGTAAGATATATTAATTTACACTGAAATATTCAAGGTAATTCTGACCAAGAACAAATATATTGGTTAGTAACATTAGTGTAAATTTTTATCGTGACAGATATATTTACTACATTAAAATGGTGGAAAAACTAAGAGAAACTTTTCCTGGGTGATACCCGATAGAATGATTTTATGAATAGAAATACTTAAACTTAATTTTGTGACTAGAATAATACTTAAACAATTTGGCCGATAGATTTCATCGGAAGTACGAATTTGGCCACTAGATTTCAATTCCCTACTCACACAGCTCACCCAATTAGTTTAAGTAACTAAAAAATAAAAATATCAAGGCTAGCGGTGGCAAACAGGCAGGTCGGGTAGGACACGGGCGGGTCAAAAACGGATTATGCAAGAACATATAAAATATCTTACATGCCCATATTTAATATGAATAGAAAATAGGTTAATCGGCAGATAATATGGATACTAGCTCATACTATGTGTAGACACTGAAATTTTAGCAGATCAAGATAAATCCTAAATTCAAGAAAACTCTTGAAATATTAGGAGTCTATTAAGGTTACTTGGTGGCTACTCCACACAAATCTTAATTCATACCTATAAATAAGGTTACATATGTCCTTCAAAGACAATCTCAGAAATTTTATAAACTCACGGAATATACACAATGAGATCAAATATACAATCTCTGAAATTCCATTAAAATCTTAGAATATTCATTAAGAGATCAAAGGCATGTCAAATATGTCTTGCTTAAAGTTCTAGCAACATTCAAGATCCAAATGGAGTGTTGCTACATGCTTCTTGATCATCAAATACATCAAGGAAATGCATATCATCCTACGTTCGAGAAATACGCTGTTAAGGTCCTCGAATTACGAATAACAAATGGGAGGGAAGAATCAAGGGATAAACAGAGTTGTAACCCGCAATGTTTATCAATAAAATCCTTTTTTCTTTATAATTGTTTGTGATTGCAGTTTTATTTTTCTGCACAAATTTATTGCAAACACTATGCATGGCTTCTTGAACATGATCACTTTTGAGAATTTCTACTCTCCCAAATTTGAGGAACCCCAATTTTAAGTCTTTGCAAATGTAAAAGTTAAACCCATTAGTTATCCTTTAAGTATCCATTTTTAAAGTAGATAATATGGATCTTATCCATATTTCACCTATTTTTAAAAAATTAATTATCCAACTCATCTTTTAGTGGATAATATGGATGGATAATTATTATTTATCCATTTTGTTGTCACTAATCACGACCATACGCGTCCATAATCACTTACAAATTGATGAATAGGTGTCCATAATCACTTGCAAATATAGAGATTTATTAGTAGAATATAGTCAGAGTAGATCTAGGATTTCAAAAAGATACATGTACTATAGCGAAGATATGGATTCATCATTTAAATTTGACGGGTTCAACCATTGGTTCTTGCAATTGAACCAATCACATTTTTAAAATTATAGGTTCAAGTTTTCCAAGTTTTAGTAATTTTTTACAATATATATATATATATATCAAAAATATTGTGAGTAGGTGAACTCATTGACTATATGCTACATCCTCAATTGCTACTAATAATATAGATATTTGGTTTAATTATATAAAACTAGTAATTTTATCTTCACTTTGAGCGGTCATGAAAGACCTCACTAAAACTTAAGAAATACTCTTTTGATACTCAGAAATCGGAATATTAGTGTCATGTCATACCCAAAACTGGGATGGGACTTGATTGGCACCGGATCGAAACTAGCTACCCGTCCAGCAAATCTTGGATTAAGATATACTAAGAATCATACTAACTAATCTCACTAGTGGGCTCTGGGGAGGGTAGTGCGTACGCAGACCTTACCTTAACTTGGGGTAGAGAGGCTGTTTCCGATAGACAATCGGCTTCCTCCCTCCAAGAACTCCCCACCTTGCTCTTGGGGTGACTAGAACTCACAATCTCTTGATTGAAAGTAGAGGGTGTCTACCACTAGAGCAATACACTCTTGCCACAAACTATAGAATGCATGCATAAACTATAGAATGCATGCATACTAATACTATGCTAAGTCATGCGGCGCTAAAGAGTTCTGTATATAAAACTGTCTTTAGCGCGTTCCCCGGAATGCGAATAAAAGATTGAATACAATTAGAAAGGATCCCCATTGAAAAAAGAGGCAAAAGTAAGCTGGATTTTAAAATGAAGGGTAATTTATTGCTTTAACTCTTTTTTTAATCTGCACTTACTTTTTCAATTAATTGATGTGCTAATTAAGTAAAACGTTTAAGGAAAGATAAAAATAATTTAGACAAATACCCTTATAGTTGAGGTTTTTAAAATTTTAAGATTATTTAAAACCTTAAAAGAAAGATAATATAGACTTGAGAGAGTAATATAGTAAAGTGAACACATTCTTAGACTCTTAGAGTCTCAAGCGGGAGCATTTTTATCTATACCCAGTTTTGGAGTCATAATTAAACTTATATCCATTTTGCACAAAACTTTGCAAGTCTACTCACTTTAGCCTCAACTTCAGACTTATTGGGTTTGAAGTTACAAAAAAAATTAGTTTAAAGTGCAATGCACTTAAAACTAATTAAGTCTAAAGTGAAAAAAAATGCACTTAGAGATGCACATAAGACCAAATAGGTGTGAAGTGTAATAAATATTTTTATGCACTTAAGGTCAAATATGTCTGAAGTGAAAATTTGTATTTCAGATGCACTTAAGGCCAAATATGTCTGAAGTGCAACTAATTTTTTCATGCATTTAAGGCCAAATAGGTCTAAAATGAAAAAATTACACTTCAGATGCACTTAAGACCAAATAAGTCTAAAGTGCAACCAATGTTTTCATGCACTTAAGGCCAAATAGGTCTGAAGTGAAAACATTGCACTTCAGATACACTTAAGGCCAAATAGGTGTGAAGTGCAACTAATGTTTTCATGCACCTAAGGCCACGTAGGTCTGAAGTGCAAATTGCCCAAAAATAGAAATTTGTTTTCCGAATTTTAACAATCCGATATACGATTTAACACCTAAATCTACTCCAAATGAGCTCAAATTTGAAACATAGCCTTAAAATATCATCAAAAATAAATTCCAATCATTAATTTGTCAAAATAACAATAAATCTAATAAATCCATTTTACAATTAAGAAGAAGAAGAAAGCTTACGCAGTAGTAAAAAAAATAAAGTACCGCAGCAGCTCATCACTGTAAAATACCATAAACTACCTTAAAATATGCTCACAAATACCATATGAATTCATTGTCACCTTTATTTTCACAGCAAAAGAGGAGAAGAAGAAGAAGAAGAAGAAGAAGAAGAAGAATAAAGAAGAAGATGATGATGAGGAGGAGGAGAAGGAAGAAGAAGATAAAAAAAAAAAAGAGGAGGAGAAAAAGGCGAGAAGTTATCTAAACTTTGGGTACTAGTTAAAGAAAATTTAAAAAGTGAATAAACAGGCGCGACCAAATAGGACACTCTCGAGTATGCCACGCACAATTATGATATGCTATTAGCATAATGAGTTATTAATCTAGTATACAGAATTAGGGGGGCACTAATCGTGACTCTAGGAATCCTTTTACACGTGGATAGTAAATTGCATGTAAGTGGTCTTCCAAACTTTGTCAAGCCATTTTCCGTTCCCAAGATCACTCAATACTAGCCAAAGAATATATTCTCAACAATTTCAACGACTTGGTGTATACGGTCAAAATCGAGCTCGCCTACAATATGGTAGGTCAAGTTCGGAACATGGCAATAAGGACTGAAGATTGACCCTAAGTCCCACCGGGCTAGAACCCGGAATTGGAACTCCCGCCTTCAAGAATATCGAGGTCATGATCCCGGAATCGATCATAATCCCAAATTAGCTCGAAGAAACATTGTTAGCATAACAAAAGACCTAAAAATCCGTGATCGGTCAGATATTACGGCGGGAATCTCGACACGTATCAATGAGGGCAATCGGCAAATCAAGAGATTTTTTAACTTTTATGAAATTGTACCTAAAGTAGGACTACTCTACTATATAAAGGGGGTCTAATAATTTATTTAGCACATTGTAACACATATTCCAAAGCAATACATTATTATTTTTCTCTTTAAGCCCTTGTTCTTCTGTATTGTGATACCGATCAAAGTGCATCTGGCTCGAGGGTGGCTAACCTTCCGAGATTAAAACTGTCCAATTCATGTGGTTTGAATTTACTTTATCATTGTATATTTCAATTGCAACTTAATTTATCACTTTGTATCAAGTTAATCCGCATATCTTTAAAAACACATACAAATTCAATTGTTATACGATTTTGAGGGTAAACAGTTTGGCGCCCACCGTGGGGCTAAGGATAATAGTGGTTATTTGATACAAATTTTCCAAACACACACTACTTTACATTTATTCTTTGAAGTGTTTCTAGTTTCAGGTTAAATATCAAAATGTTAAAGTCTCAATCAGCACCCCTACATCTTGACAATGAACCCGGCCATCGCGGTGAAAATAACAACATAGTGCCCAGTGATGAGGTACCGCCCGTTGATCCCATCGGAATTGCGGTCGCGAACCCGATTGACGCTAATTTACATGTGACTATCAATGAAAACCTACCTAC